TCCGATCTAGGAGGGAGCTGGAGAGATGGCTCAGAGGTTAAGAGCACTGACTGTTCTTCCAGAGGTCCTGAGTTCAATTCCCAGCAACCACATGGTGGCTCACAGCCATCTATGAGATCTGGCACCCTCTTCTGGCATGCAAGCATACATGGAAGGAATGTTGTATACATAATAAATAAATAATCTTTAAAAAAAAAATCAAAACATGACGAGGACACAGAGCAGCTTGTCTGGTCGTTAGAGTAAGTGGCAGTTAGCATTAGGACCCTTGCATGCCCTTTGCTCTAGCATGCTTCCTGCATCAGGCAAATATCCCATGCGTTTGCCTTCATTGTCAATTTCAGCAAAAGGCTTACCTGATTATAATGATTATAATGAAAACTACTGAAGAGCAAATGTTTCGCATTTGATTCTGAAATCTTTAGTCTGTAGTGGGCCCAGTTGCTCTGAGTAATTCATGGGAAGATATAACAGAACCCAGTCAGATGCCCATATAATCAATACCCAGTAGCCGTGATCTAAACAAGTGGTCTCATTTGTTTTAATTTGAGTAGCAAATTTTTATGCAGGTGACTCCCTGAATGTGGTGGAAGTGTTCGACCCCATCGCCAACCGCTGGGAAAAGTGCCATCCCATGACCACAGCCCGCAGCCGTGTGGGTGTGGCTGTGGTGAACGGGCTTCTCTATGCTATCGGGGGATATGACGGTCAGCTGCGGCTGAGCACTGTGGAGGCCTACAATCCTGAGACGGACACATGGACCAGAGTGGGGAGCATGAATAGCAAGCGAAGGTATTCTGGAAGCCACGTGCAGGCTGAACACGCACACTGAGCATCTGGGGAGCCCCATGTAGGGGCACATAATAAAGTAAATGCAAGTTTTGGCCTGGGGAAATCCTGCTGCCAGGCCAGCCACTGCCAGCACCTCCTGGGAGCAAGCCCCCACCTGCTTAAACTTAAAATACCTGCCTTATCCTTTGAGGAACTTGGGGAGCCAAGACACGGACATGTGGAAGTTGTATTATTATATAAGTGCCAGCTAAGGACTGAAAATGTGTGTTCTGGAAGATTCCAGGAGGGCGAGAAACTGGACTGGACCATCTGGAAGATCTCAGGGAAGAGGTGGGATTAAAGTTGAAACCTGAAGGATAAGGAGATTTAACCTCATTAGTAGTAGAAACCCCAAAACGTTTTCTCTGTGCTCTTTCTGTACTTACGTGCGCGCTGCCCAAGTGTATGAACTAAGCAGTGTCCCACACGTTCTCCAGATGTGAGCACATGTGTATCTGCAAGGTAGAGTGAACTCGCACATCATCGAACATGGTCTAGCTCTTCACATCCTCCACCCCTTGCCTGCTCAAATTTCCAGAATGAGAAGTGTGATTGGAGGACATCATGGTAGTGCCTGTGTTTAATCTTCTCAAGTGCCGAGATGACAAACAGCGTCATTCCTTACGTCAGGCGTGTGCCGCACTGGTAGGGGCCCGTGCTACAAGGGCGTCCTTAGACAGCTTCCTCCACACTGTTTCCTGTCAGTTGCAAATGTTACTCTTCCGGCTCCCCTCATAGGGACTGAGGGAAAGAAGCTCAAGGCCCTTGCACGTTTCACCAGAATAGATTGGCCTGCATTTTGAGTGTCTATGACATGGCCCAATTTTAGGAAGGAGAATTGTGTGCAGTTTTAAAAGGATAGGTTGCTCTTCAGTGGTCTTTCTGTATAATTCTGTGATCTAACTTTTGCCTCACAAACCCATTCTCTTTTCCATACTTCTGTGTCATTACTTAGAAGATCACGTGACTGGGAAAGGGGGGAAAGAGGCCAAGTGATGGTTTGTGTGGCGAGGAAGTAGTTAGTGTGGAGGGCTCTTTTTAAAGAGAAGCATACATTCCTCATTCAGCAGTGTTAGCGTGAGACCATGAGCCAGAGGAATGTGCTCTGCAGCAAGCAGACCAGAGTCACGGAGGGTCTCTGCACATTCCTTTTAGAAGAAACAGTGTGTGCATGAGATGTACTTCTTCCAAGGATGCTCTCTGAGTTCTCTCTTCCTTCCCTCCACACCTTGCTGTGTCCCCTCCCCCTCACCTCTTGAACATTTTGCAGCTTGTTGTGATCAAGGGACTCATTTCCCACATCCCCAATCACAAGCAACTCTTTTACCTTGGCTGAGGCCAGTTGGCTTTCCTTGTGTGTATACTCTGAGAGACTTTCTTACTTTGATGTCAGAGGGTTTGAGAAGGAAAATCCTTTGGGTATTCCTCTCCTTCGCTGTGGTTAATGCCCTGATATTAGCAGGATGGGCCCAGTTCCATTTGTCTCTTTGGAATTGCAGGTTACCTTAAAATGGTCTTAGTCACATCTCTTCTAACATCCCACATAGCTCTCCATCCTGCCAGTGAGTGGCAGCTTCCTTTCCATCCTCTTTCCATCTTGTTGTCTTGTGGGCCAGGAGCCTTCTTCCGGGTTCTTATACCGTATTGCCCCAGCCCACTCTGGTCGGCACTTCCCCTTCTCTCAGCGTTTGTCTTTAATTCTCATTTGATTGTTTCTTATAGTTTGGGACCTCCTGATTCACCCCCATATTCAACTCCTGACTTAGTTACCTTGTGTCTGGGACTAAGGCTGTAGCTCAGTGGTCAGATGCTTGTCCTAGCAAGAGTGAGGCCCTAGATTCAATCCCCAGTACTACCAAGAAAAAGGAAATGTAGTTACTTCATGTGTGTTTTGTGTCCATTCTAGAAAGGGGTTTATGCCTAGTAAATTTGTCATCTTCTTACTGACCTTGCCTGAAACAAGGCCCTCTCCCCTTCGGGCAGGTTCAGGGGGTCTGTTACTATAGTTTGATTTGCTATGTGTACTTGGAAAGTGGCAGTTATCTGGTATTTTTCTCTTTCCTGTTCAACCCCAGCTTCATATTTAGTCTTCTGTAGTGTCAGATGTGAAACCGTTGAGTCTGGCGGCTTGGCATTTTTGCTTAATTTTGCATAAGGCTTATGTAGGATGGAAGGTTAAATTATGATCTAGAGCCTTGGATAATCGGGATTTTAGGGAAACTTATGTGTAGGACAGGGAACTCTGGACTTGTATTGTTTAGCTCTCAGGCACATCTTCTCCAAGCAGTCCAGCCAGCCGGCCATCACAGTGGTGCTCCCTTGAAGGCTATGGTAAGGGTAGCATATGCAGTAAGTACACACCAAACAGAAGCTAGCGGCTCACCCACCAAGACGAAGGAGGGGCTGTGCGGGGCCGCGTGTAGTAGGAACACGTGTAAACACTAAGGAGGTCAGAGGGAACACACAAGCACATGGGGCTCAGACCTGTTGTGTAGAAGACACCACACATCACTACTGAAGTCACAATAAAGACCTTTTCTTATGTTCCAAAGGCTCCCTGTGCATTAAGAGTTGACGGAGAGCGTCCTAGCACCTCGTGGTCACACATAAGTGCCTGTGATCAGGAACTTTGCCTGTTCACTTACTCTTTTTTTTTGTTTGATTTTTTTAAAAATAGATTCTTGTTTTTGTAGCCCAGGCTGGCCTCTAACGAGCTCTCCCTGCCTCAGCCTCCTCAGACTGGGACCGCACGTGTGCCCCACCATGCCCATTCCCAATCTCTGCTCATAAGCTCGTATCTCGAGCAGCAGGCCTTGCACATGGCTGATGAAAATCTGGTGAATGAATGCATGTGACATATGTCCTAATAAAGAAGCCACTCCCGGCATGGGTTGGTTTGGAGACAGTAATTCTGAAGCGTGTGGGCCCTTCCTTGAGTATGATTAGGCCAAATTAGATTGGGCTAAGGCCCTGAGTTTGCTCAGTGAGTAAAAGTGTAGTCCTGATGGTTTGAGTTCAGTCCTAAGAACCCACAATGGAAGGTGAGAGCCAGTTCTCAAATGTTTTCCTCTGACCTCTACACGCATGCCATGGGATGCATGTGTGCTGGCACACAGACACTAATAATGGCAATACAATTTTTAATTTTTTTATTGTTTATTTTTATGTGCATGGGTGTTTTGCCTGGAACTAGAGTTCTAAATGGTTGTAAGCCATCCTGTGGATGCTGGGAATTGAACCCAGTCCTCTGAAAGAGCAGCCAGTGCTCTTAACTCTGAGCCATCTCGCCAGCCCTAGAAATATTTTTGAGTAAGTCAGGCTGGTTGTGATGATACACACCTGTAATCTCAGCAGTTAGGAAGTAGAGGCAAAAGGAATAGGAATTCAGAGCCATCCTCCGCCACATAAACAACAACAAAAAAGTAAATTAAACCCTCCTCCAGTGAGATGAGAGTTTCAGGCAGATCAGGAACTGAAGTCCTGGAGGGCAGGTAACCTGCCACTGAGCCGAAGACTGGCTGGGAGCCAGCACAGGCAGAGGAACCACTGAACAGCTTCCTGGTGTTCTGCCCTCGCTGGTTGTGTTTCTATCCTAGAAAGAGGCAGCTGGCTGGTTAAGTTCTCGGTGGGTTTGACAGACTTCTGAGATGACCATTCTGTCTGTTTCAGTGCCATGGGGACAGTCGTGCTGGACGGACAGATTTACGTCTGTGGAGGCTACGATGGCAATTCTTCCCTCAACTCTGTGGAGACCTACTCACCTGAGACGGACAAGTAAGGGCGACTTCACCACATGAAAATTAGAACTGCGGCGTGATCTTTAAGCTCAGTGTGTGTGTGTGTGTGTGTGTGTGTGTGTGTGTGTGTGTGTGTGTGTGTTGGTTTTTCTGAGATGGAGCTTCATAATGTAGCCTAAGCTGGCCTTAAACTCTCAGCAATCCTCCTGAGTTCTGGGATTACAGACATAAACCATTATACGCAGCTAAACTGTTTCCCACAACCTGGCTTTATGCTTGCTAGATTCTCCCCCCACACACACCTTTTGTTTAGTTTTGCTTTGCTTTGTGGGGGAAGAGGTCTTAAACTCAAAGACTCTAATGTCTCAGCTGAGCCATAGAGTCATGCTGTGGCACCTAGCTTAAAGCTTCTTCTGAGTAGGAAGTGACTTAACAATACTGGCATATCATAGATTTAAATATCTTTGGTTAAAGGCCAGTCATGGTGGCACATGCCTTTAATCCTTTCACTTGGAAGCAGAGGCAAGGACATCTCTGTGAGTTCAAAACCAACTTGATCTACATAGTATATTCTAAGCCAGCCAGGGCTACAAAGTAAGACTTTGTCTCAAAAACAAAAAAATAGCCGGGTGATGGTGGCGCACGCCTTTAATCCCTGCACTCGGGAGGCAGAGGCAGGCGGATCTCTGTGAGTTCGAGACCAGCCTGATCTACAGAGCTAGTTCCAGGACAGGCTCCAAAGCCACAGAGAAACCCTGTCTCGAAAAACCAAAAAAATAAAATAAAATAAAATCCTTGGTTAAATGAATCTTTTGGTTAAATTTCAAAGGAACTAAATCCAGGCATGGTGGTTCATGCCTATAATTCCAGCCCTCAGGAGCTCAAGGCTATATGCACCCATTTCAAACAAACAGAAGGTACAGATACTTAGAAACATTTATTTATTGGTCTGTGTCTCTTCACTAAATCAGTCCATTGTAGTGTAAGTGCAAGCAGCGTGGCTAAGAAGTATCTGGACAGCACATCCCAAGGCAGGGAGACCTGTTTGAAAGAAATAAAATGTATGGTCAGAAAGCTTGGGGAATGCTGATATCTGCTCCTCATTGTCCTTGTCTTCCTATCATGTATGTGACATTGTAGAGTTCCAGAAAAGACAGGATCAGTGAGGGATCCTGTCTAAACTTGGGTTTTCTGTAAGACCACTGCAATCTTTGTGGGACACTAGGACACATTGGCACTGCTAGGCCGGGTTCCTCATCCTAAGGTTCGATTCCTCCCATCTTAGGTGACAGAATGTCAACAAATGGGCTGAAAGGACCCATGATGTTCTAAAGATGACATTCTGTTACCTAACCCTTGACTGCCTGGTTATTAACAGGTAGAAAAGAGGCTGGTCCTCCCTAGTGCTCAGTTTGGCAGGCCGTAAGTGTGTTATGTTCAGCTTGCCCTGGAGGCCTGTATCTGGAGCTCTTGGCCCAGAGTGGTGAGCACTACTCTCCCTAGGGCAGGGGTGCAAGGTTAGACTCATAACGGATAGACTGTGAGGCTGGGAGATGACTGAGTTTATAAAGAACTTGCCTAGCAAGCATGAGTTCAATCTCCAGAACCCACATAACAATGGCAGGCATGGTGGCTTACACTTAGAATCCTAGCAGAGAAGGTGGAGACAGGAGGATTCCTCGGGGCTTCTGGCCAGTCAGCCTAGCCTAATAGATGAGCTCCAGGCCAATGAGATGCCCTGTCTCAAAAAATAAGGCATGGTCCTGGAGATAATACTCAACATTCCTCTGGCGGTCATGTGCACAGTCACACTTGTATGTGAGCTCACACGTATAAGCACATCCACACACAGATTTTTTTTTTTTTTGCAGAGGTTAAACAGTGGTAAATGCTTATCCCAGACAAAGAGATAGCAGGCAGGGAGGGGTTCAAATAAGAAAGTCCTCACTGTGTGCTGTAGGCAAAGCTAGAAGACAGAGAAACCACATGGGAAAGAAGCGCACCAAGAGCCAGGCCTGGAAGTTCATCTTGCAATCTCAGCGCTCAAGAGCTAAGGCAGGAGGATTTCCCCAGAGACTGCACTTTTGTTTTCTGGTCACCCAAACCCAAATAATCACACAAAAACCATGTTGATTACAACACTGTTTGGCTAACAGGTCTGACATATTCCTAGCTAGCTCTTATATCTTAAATTAACCGACTTCTATTAATCTGTGTTTCACCACAAGGCTGTGGCTTACCGGTAAGGTTCTGGCATCTTTCTCCTTCAGCAGCTACATGGTGTCTCTGACTCCACCTTTTTTTCCCCTTCTTTCAGTTTAGTTTTCCCTCCTACCTATATTCTGCCCTGCCATAGGCCAAAGCAGCTTCTTTATTAACCAATGGTAATGAGATACATTTGCAACTAATACAGAGAGGAATCCCACATCACCAGCCTGATCTACAGAGTGAGACCTTGTCTCAAAAAGACGAACAAACAAACAAACAAATCACACTGAGGTACTTGTCACTTCAGGGACGTGGTGCAGCTGCTGGAAGAGCAATCCAGTTCCACTGACAGTGTGGGATTGGGATAAAGATGGCCTGAAAGCAAGGCCACATCTAAGGAGGTCCATACACTGCTCCAGGTGGGAGGCAGAGCTGGGCAAGTGGTAGTAGGAGCTGGAACAAGTAAGTACTAGGAAGTAAACCAGTAAGTACTTGTGGACCACAAGAATGCCAAGAGAGGTGTGGCACATGCCTTTAGTTGCAGCACTCAGGAGGCAGGTGGATCTCTGAGTTCAAGACCAGCCTGGTCCAAATAGAGAGTCCTAGACTAGCAGTGGTGAAGTAGTAAGACTCTGCCAACAAATAAATAAATACATATACATAACATACATACATGCCCTGTGATGATGGCGCCCGCCTTTAATCCCAGCACTTGGGAGGCAGAGGCAGTCAGATCTCTGAGTTTGAGGCCAGCCTGGTCTACAGAGTGAGTTCCAGGATAGCCAGGGCTGCACAGAAAAACCATGTCTCAGAAATTAAATAAATAAATAGATCATCTCTGGGGCTGGAAAGATGGCTCAGCGGTTAAGAGCAATGGCTGCTCTTCTGTTCAATTCCCAGCATCCACACGGCAGCTCACAGCTTCTGTAACTCCAGTTCCAGGGCTCTGACACCCTCACACAAGCATACATGTAGGTAAAACATGTAAATTACAAAAAAGAAAAATACAAATGCTGAGAGAGGGAGGAGAAACCAAGCGAGCACTTGGGTTTTATAAGCAGAGTAACTAGGTGGCTGGACGTCCTATTAACAAGACCCAGGGATGCAGAGCCATTGCAGATGTGTGTGTGGGCCTTGTTTGAAATGTGCTGGTTTTGCCTGCTCGTGGTGATTGGCTTGGGTGAGAGGCGCAGCAGCAACACAGCCTGCACAGGTGATGGGAGAGATGATAGGCGTTAGATGATCAGGACATGGTCGGCATGGAGACAGCCACCTGGGCCTGGCTAAGCTGTCTGGGAAGGCCATGAACACTGACTCTCATCCCCGCTCCTGTCTCTGCTGTCTTCTGCAGGTGGACGGTGGTGACTCCAATGAGCTCAAACCGCAGCGCCGCTGGGGTTACAATCTTCGAGGGCAGGATATACGTGTCAGGTGGCCATGATGGTTTGCAGATCTTCAGCACTGTGAGTCTGGCCCCTCCTGGGAGACTTCTTCCAGCCTTGGGGTTTTTTTTCCCCCCAAAATCTGTTCTGGGCTGGGGGCATAGCCCAGTTATATACTGCTTGTCTAGCATGCACAAGACCCAGAGCTCAATTCCCAGCACCACCCAAACAAAAAAGCTTGAGTCCTGCCATTGCTGCACATAGGTTATCTCCTGAAGGTCCAGGGTGTCACCTGCATCATCTAGAACTCACTTCTAGAGAGCCCATGCACACAAGGAAGTGTTGTGTGCAGTCATCTTGAACTTGCCCCATTTGGGTGTCCATGACATGCTGGAAAGCCTTTTGAAAGGTCTACCAAAGTGAGCTCAGTCATATGCCAGAAGTTAAGGCCATCAGTCGCGTTCTTCTGGACACTTACTCTTTTAAAAGGCTCGGCAGCCATGCAGTAGTGGTTCCGACTCAGTCTGTACTGAGATAGGAAGTGCTTGGGGCAGTCCCAGGAGACAGTAGTACTCTCCTTCCAGCTCTGCCATCGCCTAGAAGAAGCCCAGTCTTTCCTTCATTTCCTTGCACACGCCCAGAAGGCTTCAGCTCATTATAAGGTGTCTGAAGAGGTGGCATCAGAGCTAGGGCACTTGTCAACTGAGCTCCCTCTCCCTGGTCTCCCACAGTCTAGCACCATGTGGGTTTCTGAGTCCTGCAGGGCCACCCCATGGACCAGGCCTTTCCTCTGACCACCTCATCCCCGCACGTCTCTCCCTGCAGGTGGAACACTACAACCACCACACGGCCACCTGGCACCCAGCAGCCAGCATGCTCAACAAGCGCTGCCGACATGGCGCCGCCTCCCTGGGAAGCAAGATGTTTGTGTGCGGGGGCTATGATGGCTCTGGCTTCCTCAGTATTGCCGAGATGTATAGCTCTGTGGCAGACCAGTGGTGCCTCATAGTACCTATGCACACGCGCCGGAGTCGGGTCTCCCTTGTGGCCAGCTGCGGGCGCCTCTATGCAGTGGGCGGTTATGATGGACAGTCAAACCTAAGCTCGGTGGAGATGTATGACCCAGAGACGGACCGCTGGACATTTATGGCCCCCATGGCGTGCCATGAGGGAGGGGTTGGTGTGGGCTGCATCCCTCTTCTCACCATCTAGGAGAGGGTGGGATGTGGTGGGTTAGGGATCTGGTACAAGCATAGGCGCTTCCTTCCAGGGGCAAGTTCTCTCAGAAGAGGCAGTGGTGGACCAGAAGATGGGGTAAAATGCGAGCCTGCCAGAGGGACAGTGTCTCCAGGTGCTTACGTCCTCCCTTACTGTGCTGCCTTGTGACCTTAGGTTATCAAGATGCACAGCACAGGACAGAAGCCCCTCTGAGTCCCACAGCCAGTGACACGGAAGTGCTTTGCAGGTTCCATCCAAGGCCAGTGTGCACAACTACAGTGCTGGCCCAGCTCCCACTTGCCACAGTGCTGTGAGTGCCCCCGTGCAGGTGGCCTTCCAGCCGACTCCTCCTCACCTGCTTGTCTGCAGCCATGTTGTGGCCAACTTGCCGTCGGAAGCAGCAGTGTTGAAGCCCATTGGAAACCGGGGTAAGGCTGGGAGAGGAAGGACGCCCTGGTGTTGTGACTGCCGGGGCAGCTACAGCAGCATGCTGTATGCGCACACGCTCTTCCTTCCGTCGTGGGGCTCAGAGGATGTCGTCCCTGTCTCAGCAAGCAGGGAGCCAGAAGTCTTCCCAGTGCCTGATGTTTTGGGAACTCAGTGAGGTCTTTCTTTGCTTGTCCCAGAGAACCAGGAGGGGAATAGAGATGTTTGAAAGAAACCGGAGGAAATGGAAACCATAAAGAGAAGCTGGAAGGAAAAGACTTTTGTAAGAGAACGTTTCTCACGAAAAGAAAACAAAAGATACTAAAAGCAATTATACATTAAAATGGAAAACCATCAAAGATGACAGCAGTGGGATCCACTCCCACATTCGGGTCCCAGGGTCCCGAGCCCTCCTAAAGCAGTTGGGGTTCCCTCTGAGCTCCCACTGTGTCTAAAGTCAGGACATTCCTGACTGGACCTTGTCAAGGTGCTCACCCAGTGTCAGAGGCTTAGGGATCTGGCTGCATTACTGCCACCCATCTCTACAGGAGCTCCAGGGTTCGCTGGAGACTCCAGGCGCCCCTGTGATTATTTCCACTGCCACCCAGCGCTCCTTCAGATCCCCACTCCCACATCCATTCCTTCCCTCTTTGGCCAGCCGGAAATAGCCTGTCTGGCCAGATCCGCACTTACCCATCAACTGTCTTTGAATAACTCGTCTGATGTTTCTGAGGCACATTGGCTGTTTGTACCTCTCAGACCTAACCAGGGGCTTTCTCCTACCAGCCATGGACTACCTTGGTCAGGTGTGCCCTGCCATTGCCCTGTTTTTCCATCCACTCGCCTGCCCCGGGGTGGGTGGGGAGGCCACCTTCCCCCCATCCCTTAGCAGACTGACCAGCAAGGTGGGCCTCTACATTCAAGCAACGCTGGCTTTATGATATAAAGACCTAAAGACTAAAAAAAGTCTTTTGCTGCTGCAAAGAAGATATTTTATATTTCTTCCTCTGATCTTGGCAGACGACCTCGTGAAGAGACTCCATGCTCCTTCCTCCTCTGGATGGGACCTTACCGTAGCACAGAAGGGCCCAGAGAGGAGGTTTTTCTATTACCAGTGCACTGGGCAGTGGGGCTGGCCTTCAACTGCTGCTGCCAAAATCTGCTTTTCTAAAGTTCTTCCAGTAGAGACTAGAAGGGTACAATTACTTTTAGCCCCAAACTGGGCCTAAGGGTCCCACTCTCCACCTGATTGGTTTCTTGCCCATTGCTGCCTGCCTGGGGCAGCCTAGAAGCCAGTCCCAAAGGCACAATGTGAAGCCTGGGGCATCCCTTACCCCAGACGGTCCAGTTTACCAGTGTGTGCAATAGCCATGGATTCAGGAGGAAGGACTTTTGTTCCCTGCGACTTAAGAGCTGGGCCTCTGCTATAAGCACTTGAAAATCATGTTTTTATGTTTAAAGACTGAACAATCTGATAACGGATACACGTTTAACTAGGCTCCCAGTGGAATGCCAGCCTTTCTTCCCGCCCCTCAGTTTGCCTGCTGAAATAGAGTCTGAGGGGGCCACGGGTCTCGGTCTTCTGTTGGTCCTGTCAGCAGGCGTGTATCTGTGCTCATCTTAAGTCCTTTCTTCTGTGAATGGACCGCACAGCCTTGACTGCGAAGGTGCTGAGAACTGGTCAGTGAGCTCACATGGGGACAGCTCCTTGTGATGCTAGCAGACAGCATTCCTGGAGACGACACATCTTCCCCCGTCTGCTGCTGTTGGATTAACCGCCCTGAGTCCACTCCCACCTCCTAGAGCAGCAGATACGCTGTGCACGTAGAGAAAGGTCAAGTCAGTGTTTAACGTGGACTCTGAGCACACTTGAGCAAACAGGAGCATTTCCATACATCCCAGTCTGAGGGCAGGTGGCTGGGCCGACTCTCTAGCATTAGAACAGTAGGATCATGGGAAAACAGACATCAGCAAAGGACATGGTGGAAAGGATGTAACAAGGAGATAGGTCAAACATACCTGGTGGACACAGGGTTGGCCACTGTCCTTTCTCATTTCCCATGCATGGTTCTTCTGAGTTTCATCGAAGATCACAAGCAGAAGAGAGCTGAAGACCAGCTTCCTGGTGGAGCATAAAGATGGAAAGAAATAGGAATCCTGTCCCTCTTCACCCACAGTTGTTTCACAGGAAATTTTTATTTATAGAACGCATGTCTTTTGTGTTAAGAAACCAAAGAAAAATAAAAACACTCCTAATACTCTTGCCTTTTCCTGATTGTGTGTGTCCATTCCTGTGTGGGTGTGGTTGTATGTCCATTCCTCTATGTGTATGTCTATTCCTGTGTATAGAAGCCAGGGGTTGACGTTGTGTAGGCGAATCTGTGTTTACTGAGCATTGTTCTCTGATTGCATGAGACAAGTCTTAAACTGCTCTCAGCTGCTGGCACTGCTCAGCTTAGCGTATGGCAGTAGTGCATGGCGGTTGGCAGTGGCTCCATCCCGCAGGCAACTAGCAGGAGATGCCTCTCTGTACTGCAGCTGGCATGAGACACAAGACAAGGAAGCCTTGTTTGGCTCTGCTTTTGTGTGTTTTAGAAACTTTTAAAGCTTTCTCCAGTCTTATGTGGATGTAGGTACCCCACGTTGGGTGCCGTTTGTAGGTGGCCTTTTCTGTCTAGACCAACTGATCAGTTCTGTCCCGCCAGCCACTCCCCAAATAACCACACAGAGACTTAAAATTAATTCTAAATACTTGGGCTGATAGCTTAGGCTCTTTTATTTGCTAGCTCTTACAACTTAAATGAACCCATTTCTGTTCATCTGTGTGCTGCCCCAAGGCTTATTTGCCTCATGTACATACTTCCTATCCTGCTCACTCTGTGTCTCACCCTTCTTCTCCCAGCATTCTCTCTGCCCCGAAAAATCCTGCCTAGCCATCAGCCAATCAGCTTTCTGTTAACTATGAGAGCAACACATCTTCACAGTAAACAGAAGTATTATTCCACAGCAACACCGGGCATCTTTCTCAATAGCTTCCCACCTTGGATTTTGAGGCAGGGGTCTCTTCCTGGCTTGGAACTCTCCAATTCAGCTTGGCTAGCTGGCCAGTAAGCCCTAGGGATCTGCCAGCTGTGGCCCCAAGGACTGGGATTGCAACTTGTCCATTACCACATCCAGTTTTGTTTTTTTTTTTAACCTGGGTGCTAGGGTTCAAATTCAGGTCCTCAAGTTTGCACAGCGATCACTTAACCAGTTGAATCAGACCTACCTCTCCTGGCTTAATTTTAAATGTTAGAAGTAAATTTTTATTTGTTTTGGTTTAAAAGAAAAGTATATTGGACAATTTACAAATATTTTCATGAATATAAGGGAAAAATCAAATGAACCTATAGCAAAAACAATCTTTGAGAGATGTGATTTGAATGAGATGTCCTGTGTAGCTGTCAGGCATTTGAGTCCTTGGTCCCCAGTTGGTGGCTGTTTGGAAAGGATCAGGCAGTGTAGCTTTGCTGGAGGAAGTGCAGCACTGTGGGAAGGCTTTGAGGGTTCAGGAGTTTTACATTAGATCTCTGCCTCTTGTTTCTGGAGGGGAATTAAGAAGTGAGCTCTTGGCCTGACAGTGATGACACTCGCCTTTAATCCCAGCACTCAGGAGGCAAAAGCAGGCAGATCTCTGTAAATTCAGGGCCAGTCTGGACTACAGAGTAAGTTCCAGCCCAAGCTCCAAAGATACACAGAGAAACCCTGTGGGGGGGGGGGGGGTTGAATATGAGCTCTCAGCTGTTCCTGCTGCCATGTCTGCCATCTGCTGCCTCAGTTCCCTGGCACCATAGACTCTTATCCTTCTGGAACTTTAAGCCCCAAAGTTTGATCCTGTCCAGACGGCCACAGCCCTCACGTTTTTCCCTTTTCTCAACTCCCACAAAAGTACATTTAATTCCCCATGTCAACTTCCTAAAGTCAACATTGCCACTTTAGCTCCTTGCTAATGTCCAGCCGGAGAATCTGTAATTTTGGCACACAAAAAAGTCCTGGAAAAAAAAAGTTATGATTTATGTGTGAGGCCAGTTGAGGTGGCGCACACCTTTAATCCCAGTACTGGGGAGGCAGAACTAGGTAGGTCTCTGTGAGTTCAATGCCAACCCGGTCTACATAGTGAGTATGATTTTCAGAACAGCCAGAGCTATATAGTAAGTCAGTGTTAGAAGGAAAGAAAGAAGGAAGAAGGGAAGGAGGGAGAAGGGGGAGAGGGAGGAAGGAAGAAAGAAGGCTGGAAAAATGACTCAGCAGTTTGGTTCCCAGCAACCACATCAGGCAGCTCAAAATTGCCTTTAACTCCAGCTCCAGAAGACCCAGCACCCTCTTCTGGCCTCGAAGGGCATCACACACTTGGCATACACTACTACCAATACACACATATACAAAACTTTGGTTTTTAAATTTTCAAATATGTTTTAAGGGTTCATGGGCTGAGGAAATGGCTGAGCAGTTCAAGCACTTGCTTTATAGACATGGCGAGAGTTAGCTGGCAGGGGTCTTAGAGCTTGACAGGAACCAATTTTCTTAAGATTCATTTGTCATCCAAACCAAGTGAACACTTTTTTTAAAAAAATGAAGAGGATAGAGCACGTAATATAAAGGTGTGGTGTGGGTTGGAAAACATGGGAATTCAAAGGTTTAAACACTTTTAAAAAGTGTTAAGAGGCAAGGAGATGGTAAGGATGGATTCACCAATATGAAAAATTCATGAAAAACCTCTATGGAAACTCACTGCTCGAGCCGGGCGGTGGTGGCACACACCATTAATCCCAGCACTCGGGAGGCAGAGGCAGGCAGATCTCTGTGAGTTCGAGCCCAGCCTGGTCTACAAGAGCTAGTTCCAGGACAGGCTCCAAAAGCTACAGAGAAACCCTGTTTCAAAAAAAAAA